AAAAATAGAACGAGGAGTATAAACATTATTACAAATAGATTTAAGTATACTTGCATTCATGTAAACGTGATTAGTTTCCCCGATATCCATAACCCACCCATCATTTATTAGGTCGTCTAGAAACATAGTGTTAAACATGCTCGGAAGTGAAGTGGGTTGATCTGGCATGGGGGCTAGAAGTTGCTATTGGACTGCATATGAACTTATGGACTGTTGTAGGATGAATATTGGGCTTGTGGTGGTCTACTACCGAGGAGCCCATCTGAGTTATGAGAAGGTGGCCTGCTCCCATTTGGGCCGACTTTTTGCTGAGGAGTGAAGAAAGGCTTTGGAGCCTGTTGAGCAACGAAGGGAGGAATCGACGGGGATTGAATCTGCGACAAAAGATGTGACGGTTGCGAGATGTAGACCCATCCATAACGCTGGTGACCAACATCTGTATGGCACGATAGACGGCTAAGCGGATGCGACATATGGAGGTTGGCGGCGATAATTATTCCCTCCTCCTCGATTGGAATTGCGATGGTAATTATTCCCTCCTCCCCAATTTGAATTGTTGGTGGAAGTATGGTGAATCCAAGGAGAAGAAGAGTGATTATCATGAGATGGAGAAGGAACTCGGTTGGAAAGTAGCCTATGTTCTTCAACTAGCAACATAGACTTAACTTCATCAAAGTTTGGAAGGGGTTTGCTATGTCGAATAATCCCAAAAGTGGTATCAAACTTGCTAGATAATCCATTGATGGCATGGATAACAATGTTATTTTCTTTAACCTTCTCACCTATTCCTTCCAGCAGGTTCGCAAGTTTCTTGATTTTGGTGAAATAGTCATGAACCGAAATTTCCCCCATACCGATCGATCGTAGCTCGCTTTCAAGTTACATAGTAGTGGCATCTTTGTTTACGCGGAATAGGGCTTCAATATTACACAAAATATTCCTTGTTGTGGCAGGTGAATCGAAGGTGTTGTAAATGTGATCACGAATGCCAAAAAGCGATGCAGTGGGCTAAGAAAAGATCGCTCCAAGGGTCGTAGTTATGAGTGTTGAGATCAAGAACTAATGGAACGCATGTTGTAATGTTGTTGACAGTATAGGCCTTTGCAGGAGGAGTAGGCGAAGAAGACGGAAGCAGAAATGTTAAGGATCAGATTATGGAAGAAAGGGGAGAGATTTTAGGAGGTTTTTGAGAAAGTCTCTGATACCATGTAAAATGATATCATTTTCATTGATTTATTAAACGAATACACCAAGCTACATAGGGTCATTTGGGCCTTTAGCCTATAGCTATACTAATACACAGGCTTATACAAAAGGTGTACACTAACAATCACATCCATTATATTGTGAGCATTTAGTCAAGTTTCATCCTTATTAATCAAAATACCAATATATACTTGAGAAATTTTTTTCATCATTTCCATGGCAATCAGACAGGCCAATTAATTTGCCTAACTTGTTAGCAATTATCTTAATGACGTTTTGCTACATATATGAAGAGGAATACAAAATTTTCTAACCCATGTAATCATTTTTTAAAACGACTAACACATATCCTTAATTTTAATCATAAATCTATATCTTTGTTTATCATATGCACCAAACCCATGTGAACCTTTTACAAAGTATATTTCTCATGCTCCAAACATCTAAATAATCAAAAACACATCTTCCATGTATCTTTGCATTCCTATATATATATATATATATATATAATATATATATATATATATATATATATATATATATATATATATATATATATAGGGAGTCAACATACTATATCAGAACTTGGAGGGCGGAGGCCTCCTATGTATTTTAGATAATAGTCATCCAATCATTCGACAATCAAAAGATCTTTAAGATTTGATATCTTTATGAAGCTATCGACTACATCAATGCGAGTTCTTTTGTTTCCTACATTTGTTGTGTGGACTATTTTGTCAAATAAGGAGATAATTTATGAGTACGTTTTCGAGTTTAAGTCAGAATTCCTTATCTTTATGCTTACCACATCCATAAAATTAATCCCTTTGCGAGGAATGTCGTGTGGCGTGCTTGTTATTCTTCCCCTCTTTTCTTTAACCTAGTTTGCTTCTTTGGAATTTTGTGATATTAATCTCAAATTTAACATTGTCGTTCAATATTGTGTTCAATGTTCTTTCTAAAGCTAGCACACTTGATACTTTCATGAAGCATGTAAAACAAAAGTTTCTCCATTTCACATCTCTTCTATTCGACATATAGACATCAATGATGTGTGTATTTATTTTACACGTGCTATGCTTTTAAGTTTTGATCTAGTCTAAATTTTTATAATTTTACAAAAAAATATTTACACTATAATGAAAGTTTTATCTTTAATGGTGTAAACATATTTATTTGCATATTAGAACATAAATGACATATCAAACAAGACAAACCCAAGCTAAGGACAATTTCAACACATACCGACCCCAAACGCGTACTTCCCATTGCTCTCTGGTCTTGGGTTCTTTAATTTCTTTTGTCTTTTTTTTCTCTTTTCATTTAATTTTAAATAAGAACGTACTTTCTCAACATTAAATGTTTCATATTTTCTTAAGACATGTCATGAAAATTATGATATAATATTTTCTGTAAATAACTCAAACTCCAACGTCATCATCCATGAGCCACAGTTAACAAACTTTATTTTTTTGTGTCATGTTTTTAGATGTGATACTTTAAATTTTTGACATATAATTAAATATAAAAACAGAGTTAATTTACATAAAGATGTTGTTTACAAACAAGCAATGATTTTTTCCAAAAGTAATTACGTGGATATTATAGAAATCATAGATTAAAAACACAAATAAACTTTTACCAAGTTATAATATTTTTATTTCTTATTTAATAATTAAACCCAAAACCAATGGGACCAATTGAAGCTTAATAATTTCAATCATGGGACCAGAATGTATCTTTTGACCAATCAAGTTCGTTCTTTGTTCCCATCTCCATCTACCAAATCACACTTTTTTAGTCAATTAAAATCGACTTCCACAATATTGCAGAAAGACATGTGAAGTTTCGTAAAATAATTAAATAAAAACTATCACAAAAACATATATATATATATATATATATATATATATATATATATATATATATATATATAATAAAAATAAAAAGTGAAAAAAACATACGCTAATGATTAATTGATAAAGGCCAAACCACCCACACATGTGAAATGCCTGAACTCATATCAATTCACCTTTTCCTTTTTCTCATAATAATAATTTAAATCTAACCCATTATTTTACATATTAAAAAAACAAAAATAAAATCACCACTATATAACAGTTATTTTGTATACTTTTTGTAGAAGTAAAAAATAGTTAAATAGTAATAATGTCTCTTGAAAATTGTTGTTTGTCACTTTGTCTTAATACATTAAATCGTGTTTTTTTAGTGAAAACATTAAATGTAGAACATATCAACAAGTTTCTATTTATTTGTATATAATAATATTCTAGTTTCTTTTTATTTTATTAAAACTTATTATTAAGACAATGTACTATCAAAAATCAACCATATATCTTTATTTTTTCAGCATTATATTGGTATTTTGTTTTGCATATATATAAGTTTATAAGACTATAGATATATATTCTATAAATATAATATATATATATCTAATATAATATATATATCTATATCTATTATATATATAAATTATGCAATAAATAAATACAAGAGAGATGGGGTAAATACTTGGTTTTCTTTAAATGTTGACAGACAAGAAGGTTGGTTTGTGAAGCGGGTCATAAATGCTGACCACAGTCCCCCACTCCGCCATTAATGATCGACTGGTTTTTCAGGCACCACCAATGAGCAGCTACCGATGGGCTTTAGCCTTCAATTCTCTCAATTTTCAATTAATTACATCTTTCTTTTTGATCTTTGTGTCTCCCAAATCGCAATCTGATCCTAGTCGTACCTTCTGTGTTGGGTCATGTGCATTTGTCGACGTGTATCTCATCTTCACCGTCGGTTATATCTCTCCGGTGACAGCAATGCTTCCGGATCACCGCTGCGTAACCGGCTTGATGAGAACATTCCTGAGTTTACCCCTGATTGTCTCATGAAAATTGGGCTTGCGAATGATTTTCTCCGACGTGATGAGCTTCCGCCGCCGCCGCCGCTGTCGGCGTACCGGACGCTGGATTCGGATAATGGAAGGAAGCTTCCGCCTCGCCGCCGGAAGAATGGCGACTTCATGCCTCGGTAGTATCGGAAGGAGAATACTCTGGATTTTGTACTGAATGGAGATGGTCTTTTGCTCCAGAAACTTCCTCCGCCTCGGCGGTATCTCCATGGAGACGCCGTCGCTGGTTCGATTACGAGTCTCTCTGATCCTAAATTACGCTCGAATCCGAATGAGTATGATCGTTTGAGAAGGAAGTCTCTCCTGATAAACCGATCCTCGGATGGAATCCTAATTGGAGATGCCTCCTGTGTAATCTCGCTTACTGAAATAGTACTGTCAACTTGATGACTAACATGCTCCGGTACCGGCGACGGCTCTATAATCGGGCTCTCGATAATCACGTCTTCGAAATTGGGACGGATTCTGGCCGACATCACCGGAATAAACGGCGATTCTGGCCGGAAAACACTCGCTCGACATAGAGGACAGTTAGCGTGACATCTCAGCCAAACATCGATACATTCCACATGAAAAGCGTGGTAACAAACCGGTAAAGTACGAACGTAATCGTTATCTTCGAATTCCAATAAACAAACCGCGCATTCATGAACACTGCTTTTCCTACTGTGAACAGATAACGGAATCGTTTTGATAACAGCGTCATCCAAACCGTATGGCGAAAACATCTGATAACCATAAGTCGGATCATACGATTCTTCGCCTGAGTACGCAGGGGACTCGATGTCGCCGTTTCCAACAGACGACGGAACGTAAGAACGGAGAAGACGTCGCCGCCTTCGCCACTGTCGCCAGCTCCGACGTAGACGGAGGAATCGTCGGGAAATGGCTCGGGAGTATGTGATTGTGATAAACGCTGTGGCGATGATCACAACCATCGCTATCAAAGGCGGACTGAATCGAACCGGTGGCTTTGACGTTGAATTCGGTAGCCATGAAGCCGGAGCTGAAGCTGGAGCTTGATGAAGAACATGAAGATGAAGATGATGATTATCCTCCGGTGATGGTGCCGGCGAGACGACGACGATCATGGTGGCGGTTTAAGGGGTTTGTAATTGTGGGTGTTGGTGAAGGGATTTAATTGTTTGTGTGTGTGTGTTATGGTTGACCCACTGCATTACCTCTTGAGGTTTTACTAGTAAAATGACACGTCAACGTTTATGAATTTAATGCCCCACGATATAAATTTTGTTTTGGTGCGATGCTGATGCATACTACTCTATGGTGGTCACGTGCCTCATTAATCGAAATTTGACTTTTTTTTAATTATTTTATTTAATTTACCTCAAGGTTAAAGTAGTATGTTTTTGAGTTTTGACAAACTAATGGTATAATCTAATAGTTTTTTATTTTATTAAAATGTTTGATAAAAATAACTTCAGTTTTAAATATGTTAAATTAGTTAAAAGCAAAATATTCAAAGCTACCAAAAAATTAAAAAAAATTAAAAACTAAAATTTTCAAAAGCTATTTGAATAAGTTTTTCTAGAGTTTTTGTTTAAAATAAAAACTAAAAACTCGTGTTTTCAAATTGAATTTATTTATTTTTTCCAATTTTTTTGAAAAACTCAACAAACTTTCAAAAACTTATGTGAGACAAGCCGGATTTCATATCTATTATATCTACATAGTTTGAGTTTTGTTCACATTTATTTTTTTTAGTTTTTTTTGTTCATTTATTACCACAGAACGTATTTGGATTGTTTATGATCGGTTGGTATATATGATATAGTTTAGATTTTGTTCACATTTAGTCAAATAAATTTTTTTTGTTCATATATTACCATTTATTACCATTAAACTTGTTTAAATGCATATATTTTATCCTTATGAATTTGTTTGGACTGTTCACATTACATTCTTATGACTTAGCAACTCTGGTTTTCTTTTATGTTACCATTGAACTATATTTCGAATAGCCTTGTGGGAGAGGTGTTTCAGTTTGATCTGAATCCTACTAAATCTTTCATCTTCTTTAAACTGTTATAACTCCTTCATTTGAAGTCAGAATATCGTGATTTTTTTTTCAACACATAGTTTATTGTGTGTACTTTATTTTAGACTATATAAAAAACGTTATTTGTTTACATATTAGTTAAATTATAGGTCCTAGGGCATTTTGGTATCAAAGTTGGATTTATGTTGTTTTAACATCGTGTTTACTATTTGTACTTCATGTTTATTTTTGACTATATAAACACCTTATTTCTTTATATATTATGTTAAATTTTGTTGGTTGATTTGGTATTATTCTACTCATTTTGACTCAAAGCATTTACTAATTGACCAAATACATAAGCATATGTATTAGTTTCCACCAGGTATTTGATAAAAAATCAGGATTGGCACTAGTACTGGTGTTGTCTAACTGGCCTGTTTATCATTTCTCATTATTAGTAGAAAATGGTTCTAGTTCAAAACTAGGTTATGACCGGTTGCTCACACTAGTTCCAACTAAGAATCATTAGCTTGCTCAACCTTTACATGACCAACTACCAAATACTACACATGTTAATCAAACAGTGAGAATGGTCCCAAAAACACTGGTCTGTTTTGCTAGTGTTGTGAATAAATTATTATAGAAAGGGTTAATGACTTTTTAAAGGTAACATAGTTTGTGTTTTGTTAACAGTTAACCCTTTATGTTTTTTGTCCATATATCACCATTGAACTTGTTTGGATTGTTCACCTTACATTCTTATGGCTAAAACTTGCACCAATCGGTCATAAGTGAAAGATCTTTATGCTCAAGAATCATTATGAAATGATATTTGCTAATAACATATGATTTTATAGGGTCACACCATATAAATAGTAAACAATAACTGGTTATTTATTAAGTAATATGATTATTAATAAATTAAATCATCACTTGTATTTAATTGAGAAATTATTATTTTTGGGAAAAACAATAATACAAGTGATGATATATGGTCCATTAGCAAGACCTAGACTGCTCTAGAGCGCCAGCCTAGCCTGGCACACTCTTACCAGCCCTGTCTGGCGTTCCCTTGCCAGCCCGGTCTAGCGCTCCCATGTCAGCCATGCTGGGGACTCTCTTACCGGCCCGGCCTGACGCTCCCTTGCCTAGCGCTCCCTTGCCGGCCTTTCCTGGTGCGCGCCCGCTAGCCTTGTCTGGGGCGCGCCCGCCAGCCCCGCCCGACGCCTCCGGGCGGCCTTGCCCAGCTCCTTGCTAGTTGGGCCTGAATTGGGATGGCCCAAGACCTGACCTAATTGTCCCCTATAAATAGAATAGTGCCTCCCCCATGAAGGAGGACTCTTCCCGATGGCTCAGCCGCCACACTATACTCCGGTCGGGTGGCTCAGCCGCCACCCGCCGCCGTCAGCCACCATACACCACCACCAGCACCGAGATGGTTCTCTCCAGCTAATGAGAACCATCTCAGATCTACCAGCTGATCTAACTTGATCGTCGGAGTCCGCTCCCGGGGCACAGTCCCTAGGGCGGCTCTAACGCATCTCTCTATTGTGACCTCGCAGATCTTCTCCAGCGTAGAAGCACACTCTCAGAACAGGTGGTCGGAGTTCCCTGTCACATCAACAAGGTATAACTAGTTACATTTTAGTCATACGATATGATTAATTATTTTGTACAAAATATTGGACCTGTAGTAGACTAATAACTAATTGTATACATAATATTAATAAAATGGAGTGCCTAGCACTCCAATCCTAACTCCGCATCATGAAACCGTCCACCACATAGAGTGGGAGATAGTTTGCCTGCTTTGACTTCTACTTGCACATCCTTGGTTGCTTGTAAGTACATAAGACATTAAATGAAAGCATGACATTTGTTTTATCTCATGTAATATAATCAAAGAGTGATGAGAGACAATGCTAGCTTACTTGCTTCTTTTTCTCCTTTTTGAAGAACAAAAGCCTAGAGCATCTAAGAGCCCTCACCTTTCTTTTTTTATTTCTTCTTGCTTACATTTTACGCTTGGATTTGGTTCTCCTTTGAAGTCTTATTTAATATAAGACTTAAGGGCTTAAGAACATATCCTTACAAGTGAAGGACTAACATTCTATAATGGGTTGGAGACTTGTTTTGAATGGATACATATAGAGAGCTCCTAGCTTGGATCTTTGCATTTTCCCTCAACTACCAAGCCTCCCCTTGAGGACTTAAAAGACTTCAATGTTTGTTCATCTTTTAGCTCCTCTATGGTTGTTGTTTTCTTTCAAACTCTTGCAAGATGATCATTGATGATAATAAACTAGTTATGTTGTTAGAAATTTTAAGTCTTCTGTTTGCTAAAATATTAAGTTTTTGAAACTAAATTTAAATAAAAACCCAACAAAAAGGATATAATATGAGCAGTCTAAACAAATTTAATGGTAATATGTCGTCGAAAAATAACTTAAATGACTAAATGTGAACAAAACCTAAACTATATTACCCTTATAAATCATTATTCTCATAATATAATATTATTAACAAATGATTTATATATACATTTGTTTGTCTAAGAAGACTGCATAAACCTATTTGTTTCTTAAATAGTCAAGTAAGGTTAGGCGGCATAACGTTGACAATAGAATATTAGGAGTTTTTAGTACTTTTCTAATGGATATCAATATTTTTAATTAATTTTTTATTTTTACAAATAAGAAAATTGAGAACGATGGTTATATATATATATATATATATATATATATATAATATATATATATATATATATATAAAGTTGGATTGGTTTTCTATAATTAAACTTTTTTAACGAATGATGGTCCAAAGTCCAAACACATGTAATGTATATAGATGATTAGGTGTAGATGTACTTAAAAAGTTACAAACAAATGATGGTCGAAAACACGTGTTCTGCATGTACCAATATGTAAATCAAGGGACTCATAGAGATATTAAACCAATATGCAAATTAAGGGAATCATATTACTTATTTATTTTTCATGGCATTCTAAAAGTAGATCTAAATTTTCAAAATTTATTTCTATAAAAAGAAATCATCTTTTAAAAATGGTGTAGAGACAAATCACATTACAAGAAAGTTGGTATAAAAAACTAGACAGATTTTCAAGTTTCTGTTATTTTAAAGGTGCAGAATGCTTTAAATTTGATAATAAAAAAAAGCACATTTTAATTATTTTTAGAAGGAAACATAGAAAAGGTGAATCTATTGTGCTCAAACGTGTGAAAAAACATTATGCTATTATTTTTTTAAAATAAAATTATTTAATATTTTGGTTATGTTTAAAATAATATTTTGTAATCGGTACGTGGTTTTAAAAAAAACCGAGCATATAATCTTTTTATGCACGAAAAAAATCATTGTATTATTAATTTTACAATAAAAGCATTTTTTTTTATTATTTATAGTAAAATAATATTTCTCCTTTTATTCTCCACATTTTTTCTTCAGGAAACACTTTCTAAGAATTGAACTAATTGACGGAATTATGGAATACATGGTTGCAATTTAGGGAGATCGGAGTGGCTCGGGATGGCCGGGTTTGGGCTGGTGGTACCGCCAGGAGGATTACTCCGTCGTTGGATGGGTAGGGATTTTGGCCTCGTATGTGGGTTGAGAAACTCATCTGCTTTTCTCTCTTTCTCCTATTTGATTCTTCTTTGTACGTGCACGCACACACACACACACACACACACACACACACACACACACACCACACCACACACACACACACACACATATTATATATATATATATATATATATATATATATATATATATATATATAGATGAACAATTATTGTGCGGACGTGTGGACAATGCTATTCTATGATAATTACTAAAATAATAAGTTGTTTAGTAATGCGAATACGTTAAATCTTACAAAAATATCGTTATTTTCATGCATTCTCACTAATTCTTATTCATTTTTGTTCTCAAACATCGATTTTCACTCATTTTCATTCTGACAGAATACGACTCAATAAAGATTCTGACAACATTCTGACAGAATGAGAATAATAATAAAAAGTCTATAATAACCTTATAGACGATTTAATTAGTGTTATGTAAGATTG